AGGCGCGAGAAAAGCTTTCGCAAGAGTTCTAGACGACGAGCGTAATTACTGTACCATCTGCAGCGGCTTTGCTGGCAGCTCTGGCGGCTGGCTGCGGCAGCAGTCGGCTGCCTGGGTACCACTTGCTACGCACCCACTTTATACTGATTGTGTTAACTACTTTTGATCACTCAAAAAGTTATAAACGTTAGAATATAAACGAAGTTGAATAAGACGTCAGAAACAATAAGAATTGCGTATTGTCCATATATCACGGAACTCACACCCAACTGGACGCTTAATATTAGGTTGCTGCATAAGTTCTGTCCGAAATTTTTTGAGTTCAAAAGGTCATAACTTCTTTCAAAGTTTTTTCTAAGATTTTAGTTTCTGTGTGTTGAGCAATTCCTTGGCTATCAGACACATTTTGAAAACTGCGAAAATCCTTGTTAAGGAAAAAGCAAGAACTCGAAAACTTCACAGCGTTTTTCTTTAAACCTGCCTTCTTTGACATGGCAATGCTCTCTTATAAGAATTGATAAGCATCTTATTCAATAATGAATAGATAGAGAATTTTTCGTAGATTATTATGCACCATAAAAGAGCCCATAAGGAATCTCCGCTGCCGAAAGACTTTTTTGACCGAACCAAAAAAAAGCCACTTTTTGACTTCGCTTCAGCGCATGTGTGCATGCCTATTTACGAATTATGAAAAATTTACAGTTGACGTGAGCGTCGAAAAGAAACTGATGGATGGGCTCTGCTAGCTCTTGCTTTGTCCTAACACCTCCAACTTTGAGCTTATCGATTACTTCTATTCTCAGAAAGTTATTGCTTGTAAAACATCTATACAGAAAACTAAGGTTTGACAATAAATTTTACTACCGAGACGTTTTCTTCAGAAAACTGAACGTATGCGTTATTCTGCAACCAATTGAAAAACTTGACCTTAAGGGCGCATTGTGGAGATTTCTTCGCGAGAACATACTTCTAGGGTGAGAACTTACCTCGGCCACTTGGTTTTAGATCTGAAATGTTCTTACACTAACAAGAAACTAAGAAATTTATTGAAATTTGATATGCTTTAGAAAGCGCAAGAAAAGCACTTTCTAATAATACTAACAATACCGCATAAGAGATAGAAATCTTTTAGAACGGCTACTTCAAACATAAGGCAAAAAATTCGGACAGAACTTATGCAGCAACCTAATATTGGTAAAATCAGAAATTCTTATTTTTGGATGTGTTTTCATCTCATGATACTCTCCCTGTTCCTAATCCGTTTTTCAATGTTCTAAAAGATAAGCTTTTGTCATCTGGTGGAATGCACAGCTCCACTCCAACATTCTTGTATGACAATATGCATGCGTTAGAAGTATACATAAAATAAATGAAATCTGAAATATGAAATATGAAATATACATAAAATTATGAATGAACCATAAGTTTTGCCCTCAATAATATACAGATAGCTAAACGAATCCATGGTGAATATCATAATTTATTTATGTTTCATATAAAACCGCGGCAATTGAGTTACAACCAACTCTTGATCTAGAAATCCATCTAAGTTCAAATTCTAATACTTGAACAAAATTTAGTAAAAAATAGCCATTGTTCAAAACCACATTTCAGAAAGGTCTTACTTACACAATAGCTTTAAATATTAACACATAAAATCTCCTTGTCTGCGAAACTCGGCAAGTATGAGATTGATGATGTTATCCCTGTTCCAACTGGAGCGTCGAGAAAGATTAGCCCACTCTTGCCACTAGAAATCGTGGCCAGAACAGCACGGTAACCCAACTCTTGATCCTCCGTAAGGGAGCCTCCAGACCGCGCCGGGACCGCGCCGGTTGTCGCTTTTGCAGCCAGTAGCTGCTTTCGCGCCAGTTGCCGCTATTGCAGCTGAAGCGCACAATGTCGGATTTTGTCCTTGGAGCGTCGCGAGAAGTTGGCATTAAATGCTCGGCTTTTCAATTCTTTTGCCACCACTCTTCTGTTTTCAAGGTCTTCTTTTTTTTCCGTAAGTAATTCATGCAGGTCCTACGATGCTGGAGTAATCGACTCATTGTCGAATATTCAATTTGTCTGCCTTCCGCTGTAGAGCTGTTTCTTTAGGCAAAAAAGTGATGAACGGCGTTTTGTCTTTCATTCATTTCCAGACTATTCTTTTACGGTGGTTGGATTTCGTAGAGAACAAAGTTTCTTTAAATTTGTCTTTAGTTTTGAAGCTATGCTACTTCTATCCTGAGTCATCGGGTTGCGGACTTTCCTTGAATGTAAGTGTGAACTTGTTGAAACTTCATGCAGCATTGTTTTTCATATTCTCTCGTTAACTTTATCATTAAAATCAGGGAAAGCCCGCACTTGCCTCCGTACAAATTTGGGAGCTCGTAAATCTTTGCTGAACGCCGTTTTTTGCACAGCTTTCGTTTTGATGATATTGCTCTGCTGTGTGGTTGTGCAGGCAAAATTTTTCGATGTCTTTTCCGATTTAAGGTTGGTCTACCATGCTGAGTGGAAGATAACGTCGCAAAACGCTGTTTTTTGCGTACTGCTCACTTACTCCCCCTCCCCGGGGCCAACTTCCACCTCCGTAGCTCAAACTTTGCAAAAAATCGATAAAATCGACAAAAGTAGTGGATAATCATGAAAACTAATATTGTATTCGTAATCAGTATGCTCACCTCCCCCCCCCCCCTCCCCCTGTGCCAACTCCCACCCCCGTAGATCAAACTTTGCAAAAAATCGATAAAAATCGATAGAAGTAGCGGACAGTTCCAAAAACTGATATTTATTTCGTAATCAGCATGCTCGATTGCCACCCCCCCCCCCTCTTGCCAACTCCCAGCCCCGTAGGTGAACTCTGCGAAAAATCGATGAAATCGATATCGATCGATGACGAAAAGTAGCCTATGACACCCGCTCGGGTCCCGAAGTGTATGTGTGCAGAGTTTGGTCCGGAATCGGTTCAGAAATGGAATTTGCTATTCGGAACACACGTACACACAGACAGACAGACAGACAGACAGACATACATACAGACAAACAGACATTCAGCTTCATTTATAAGATAGGCCTGTACTCTCAACATATAGAAAACTTCAAGGTTAGGTTTAAGTTCTTTCTTTTAATTTTTTCTTTAAGTTTCTCTTGGGGTTTGCAGCAGTTGAGATGCGATGCCATGCCGCAAATACCCTCAAGTTTTGAATTTTTGGGCAGACAAGCAGAACTGCCATTAGGAGCCGCTTTCGCGACCACTACTCCTTCATACAGCTTGCATAAGAATATGCGAGAGGATTGGTAGGGGTGTATGCCCTTCTGAACCGCTCAAACCCAGCGCTAATTAGGCTGCCCCAGAGAAAGCAAGTGCGCGCATGGGCGTATGGTTGTCCGCCACGTCCATCTGAGATACTCTGCGTGTTTTCCACTGAATCACTGCTATATTACAACGCATGTTGTTAACTTCACCTCGAAAATGACTGGAAGGAAGCTATAAGTGTTCATCTATTCCCTGTCCCTACCACTTTATTCAAATCTGGCTTGAAACTGCTAACATTTTCTACTTCGTCCCATTTTCCTACTTCTTTACTGGCTTGAGAATCCTGCTATTGCTGTAATCGATTCTGATTCAAATTTCTACTTTATGATCATACACAGGTGCGTTTTTGTTTTACTAGAGAGATCAGGGTTTTTAAGCATGTGTTCATGAGTTGTGCTACACGATCCATGCCTAGATAACCTAGATTCCCAGAAATAGTCTTTCAGCACTTCTACTATTTACTATTTTGTTTAGTATCTGTTTTTCAACACGATTTCATTTCTACCAAGTTTCAATTATTGTAGAAGTGGGTTAATGGTCCGCTGGGAAGTTCCGGAGTTTTGAGCATGTGTTCATGATTTGTGATACATGGTCCATGCCCCGATATCCAAAACTTACAGTTCAAACGTAGTCTTGAACGATTATTTTAGGTCGCGTTTTAGACTACTTGATATCCTGGTAGGCTAATCTTATTCATACATCTAATAAAATTTCTCTCACTATGTGAATTTTACTATGTGTCGTTTCTTGGAAGCTGGATTGCTCTGTTGCTTTACGCATGCTGTAACAGATAGATACATGAAACTTGAGCACAAAAATTAGAACTTCCAGAACCTTGCTTCGACTAAATTCTATGTGTTTTCAAACATGCGTCGTTAAAGAACAGATATGTTTGAACATGCCTGCAGTTAAAAATTTGTGCGCAAGAAGCTTCAGTTCTCAGTGTTTCAAGCAGTTTATTGTCGCAATTACTGTAATGCGGGTATCTTACTGTACATGCAGATACCGTACTTATTCCTAAGGATATGCCCTAAGCTAAAAGGCGGCAAATACGGTAGAGAAATATCACTGTATCCAACCATCACGTTTTTCTAACCATCATGTCTTCCTATGCAACCCGTCAACAATCTTTACATTATCTCTGTAAGCTCGCGCGTGCAATTTCAAGTTCATCAAGCTTCTGAATCTCAAGTTACCCTTTGCCGTTTGCTTCCTCGCCCAGCTGTTGCACCGCTTTTAGCTCGAGCTCCCGCGCAAGCACCACCTCAGAGAATAATACCTACAGCTCGCTTGTACAGCTACCTAAAGCTTGCGAATGTTGTTGATGATTTCTATATCATCAACCCAATCCACTCCATTTTCCACATCGCCTATGGAGTTCCCATAAGCTGAATTGTACGCCACTCATTCTTGAGTATCTAATCACTTAAGAATGATTGGCACCTGTGCACCAGGAGTGTAGCCGAACGGCCCCAACTCCTTTTAAGTCATGTACCCCTCCTACGTTGTACCTTGTACCCGGGCAAGCTCCGCCTTCTATTCGTGTATATAAGGAGCCCCCGACTGTACTATAGATCGCTCTCAACTAATCTACGTCAGTGCGAATAAATCTATATTCCACTTCGTCTACCCCAATCACACTAAAAACACACAGTGCACACCAAAAATGTCATATGAAAGCTGCAGAAAATAAGAAATGATTCCCACTTTGCTGATGCAGTCAGAAGATTATGGCAAGATATGCTGGATGCCTTGCCCCTGTTGCGACATTTCAGTAAGTGACAATGTGTTCCTAGTCAAACGTAAGCACTACCACGATGTACCAGGTTCGCAAGAAGTGGAAGAGATAATGGACGAATTTCATGGCACTGGTAGAGTACGAGAAGAAGAACAACTGCTAAATTTGTGAACTTGGCAATTGTATGTATATCGCTGTTCATACAAGTATTTTTAGGGCTGTTCATAAGCATAATACACCGGCAGCAACGCTCGACAATCTACCAGAAGACTTGAGGTCGTTAGAGGCAAAGACGGCCAGCTTTACACAATCCATGGAGTTTGCAACGCAGAAAAATGGAAAAGCCTTTGGGATACTAAAGCAAGATGAGTTTTGGGGTGGATTTTCAGCGCCTACGAATTATAATAGATTGTGAGCGCTCCGCATTGGCAGCTATCAAAGTACTTAAATCAATTTCATTTGCCTTGTATAAATGCATCCTAATTGCAGAAACATTACCCACCCCATAAAGTAGAAGAATGCTCATTCCACTCTGCCCAGGTATGGAATAGGAAAGCTCTGTCACTTGGGCTTGAAGCAGAGATAAAAAATGAGAGAGTGCTGGCTTGGCGGATGACGATAATGGGGATGATCTTCTTCCCCCCCCCCCCCATCTTCACAGAAAGATACCGGCGTTTTTCCACCTTTGAACTACTTGCACAAGAACTGGTACGAAGGACCTTTTGCGGATATATGGGAAAAGTGGGACAAAAAAGAACTCAGAACAAGCAATATCGCAGAAGCTTGTCATAGATAAGCACAAAGCAAAGATGGTCTTCCATTGGAGTTCATGCATAGTTCGGAATTCTACTAGTTTTCATACGAGGAAACAAGGCTCCGGTGCGAAAGACGCTCATATGTTTGAAAGGGAGTGATAATAGAGCCGTGTGCACGCTTAGGAATATGGAAAGAGTAAGCTTGCAAGGTGTTTACGTCATCATTTTGAACTAATTTTTCTAAAGAATCATTCATTGCCCTCGTAAAAAGGGCTTGAACCGTAGCGAGCGCATCGAGAGGTTCATGGAGGCAAATCGTAAGATTCTTCTACACACCCCCTGTGTATCTACCCGTGACTTAGTACAGTATTGCCAAACAATGGCACGCTTTGTTACCGATAAGGTTAGATAAATGTATTCGTTATTATCATGTTGTTTATTTATATTATCATATAGGTTTTCTATATTGCATGATGTGTCTATCAACAGTAAATACTCTTGAACAAGCGATCGCAATTGTTATCGAAACTGCCTATCAAATTTTATTAAACCCATTTCGTGATCCTGCCATCACGCCGTAGACAACGATACAAAAGATAACAAAACAGTACAAAAAGGAAAGATAACAACGAACAAAGCTAACATAAAAGTCAAAAAAACAATTCATCAAGAAAAAAGATAAATTTTTTTACAATTTCTCGCCTTCCCTTTGAAAATGCAATAAGTTTCCCATTTCCCGGCTTAAAATGCAATAAGTTTCAGTGGAGACAAGGGAGGGAATAAGAACTGTGACTAGCAAACGAAACGACTAGGATAAAAACTGAAAATAGGGACTAAACTGTGACTAGCTAACGAAGATCAAAAAATAAATAGAAGTAATCACCAAACAAACTAGGCTATGCTAACAGGAACAACAGCAGAGTTCTTCCAGCTATTTTCAACCATCGTCAATCGTTGCCATGATTGTGTGACCTGAAAAAGTAATATTTTTGCATGAGAAGGACCTAAGAAACACATAAATAATGTTAGCGATCACGACATTATTGAACGCATGTTTGGTTATAAGAATATGAACAATATTTGCGTGACACATATTGAAAAAAAAACACAAATAATTCACATCAAAGTGTTTTGAGCGAGTATATGTGAGAAATACAGCAAATGAATGAGAAGAATGAGCAGCGAGAACTGAAACGAGACTTTATATAATTAATCCCAGCTTTTCCCCCCCAATACCTGATTTGGGCAAAATGCCTGAGTTTCTTGGCGTGTTGTTTGCTGGAAGTGTACGGAAGTGTGCGTGCGTGCATGTTCGCGCGACTCGTCCAATTCTGCTGGTCTGGCGCCTCTGCGGCAGGTCGACTCTCTCGCCAAGCCACTCCCTGCCGCACCAACGACCAATCAGAGACACGCATTAACTACTCTGCCGTAGCGAGCGGTTCAGAAGGGCCGTCCCCCGATTGGTAGTCTTTGAAGGCAGCAGCGGCCCAGTAAGGTAATTGCGCGGACCTGAGCCACTGGACCAGGGCCCGGCAAGAGGTGGCATTTCAGAATTTTGAAAACGATATCCCCTTTGAAGCCAAAATTCCTTACGACTTCCCCTTTGACCCTATTTTTGACCCCCGTAAGTCCCTGACAAACACACACAAATAATAAGATGGGCGGCCTCAGCGCTTATTATAGTAGTACTACCTGGCTTTCCTGGTCCAGCCCGGGTCATCAAGGTTTCAGCTCAATGGGTTCATCCGCAAAGGAATCTATAAAAAAACATAGGGTCAAGATTTGCACAAACTTTGACGTTTATATATCTGAGATACTACTCATTTATTAGTCAGCTGCGAAACTTTACAATTTACAATAACCGATTGCGATTGGAGCGCGCTTTCCGAGGCCGATCATAACGCTGTGAACCCTATTTGGGGCTGTATCGAAGCGGTGCCTTGGTGGTTTTGGAAGCGGATTTGAACATATAGTAATACTCTCGACCTAGTCCACATTTATGTAAAGAAATCCGGGAAATTATGTGAAGGGAAGCAGGGAGCCACCCCAGGTGGCTCCCAGGTGGCGCGGGAGCCACCTAATTTCGAAAAACACTTACCATTTTTTAAATTCACATAAGTTTCTCATAATTCTTCATACTTTTTTTGTGCTCATGGTCCTCCAACTACACAGCAAATTTGGTGCCATATCGTTACTTGTGCATTGAAAACGAGCGTTTTGTTATTTTCCTCTTACAAGAATTGCGATTTGAATTCCCGCCTGCGGGCAGGCTAGCGATCGGAGCACAGAATCTTCACATTGCTGGAATCTAAGTTCATAGGACAGTAGCATCAACAAGGAATGATGAATAAAGAATGATATGTGCATTGTTTATCGGCAAACAAAGGGGAAGTCGTATTTTGGGGTCCGGGACTCCGCCCCGGACCCCAAAATACGACTTCAACTTTGCCTTCTCGGGCCAAAAACAATATCCAGCTTGTGAAAGCGCCACCCCCGCCGGGCCCTGCACTGGACATGTACAAGCATATATGTGGAGAGTATGCCTACATGTTAAAAAATGCCTATATGTTAAGAGGCATATTACTCAAATCAGCTGCCTCTATATCCAGTCGGCGTAAAGTAAAATTGATCCCTTTATCGAAAGGGAAGCCTCAGAAACACAGTTAAGATCCTTGTAAAAACTGATCAACATTGTAACAAAAGCTGTGAACTCAGCGACTGGCATTTCAGAATATTAGTTTGGCAACTAATATTACAAAGTAAATTCTATGACGTTTTTTTCTAAATTCGAGTGCATGCAAATTTTGGGATTATACAGGCAACCAGTGCGTGCACATCTGTTGCAGAGTTTCACTGGGTCTGTTACTGCAAGCGTTCCTTCCTCGTGCTCTCCCAATGATACCCTGCAAACTGCGCAGTGCTGACCAATGAATTGTAAACAATCTTCCATTACAAAAGTTTTTTTCCATTTGAGGTTGGTAACTTCGGGACAATCTGAAACGATCTAAACTTATTGTGCTTGCTAGCCGCTATACAGGACAATTAACACTTCGAAATACAGTCTGAGTGAAAAACTTTTTACAAATCTTCTTCTTGTTAGTTTAGGTAGAATCTTGACAGACAATGACCCTGTTATCGCTTCTACCAGTAAAATATGCCACATTGTGTTGTAAGTCCTCTTGTCGGGCAATAAAGTATATCATCTGTAACAACCTGTACGGCATAATATAACAATTAAAACTGTGCCACATTGATTTTTGAATTTACGCATGTAATTATGGTCACAATCTAGACTGAAGATAGGACCAAATCTAGTTGCAGAAAACTGCAACAAAAGAAAAAGCTAACTCTTCAAGCTTAGATTGTTAGAATTATTCGAATAGTCGAGTAATCGGACAGGTATAATTATTCGAATATTCGAATAGTCGGACATTCGACCACGCGTATTCGATTGTTCGAATTGTTGAATATTCATGTGTGATTATTTAAGTATTCGTTCATTCGGATTTTGAAATTGAGCATCAATCGAATACTCGAATTCGAATAATTGAACTGCAGATCGAATAATATTCGTTCGTTTGAATGTTTTTCAAAGTCCATTATTCGATTCGTTCATTCAATGAGAACTTTGGTTCGTTACAACTATAGAGTGCGGGTAGCAGTAGTTGTGGAAAAAATGGTATGAATTTCTGCAAGGGATCACTTTTCGTTGCAACGTTGAAAGGGAAGTATGAATGATAAAGAAAACGGCATGTGCAGTCTGCCAAACTTTATCGCTTTTATATGGCAAAGATCAGCGTGCTGACTCAAACACCTCTCCCGCTCCTGTAGCAAGTACTATATCCCAAAGCTTGTAAAAACGACCATAAAAATAAAGGGGATTGATAATTCTAAAAATAAGCAATTTGTTTGTAATTAGCGTGCTTACGTGACCGCTCCCCATTCCAACTTTTAGCGCATCCAGCTTGAACATCGCAAAGAAATTGATTGAACGTTACCTACGATGCCAACCACAAGTCAATGGCTCAAAGTTCGCTGAAGATAATGGAAAGTATTTTTCAACACCCGCATGAAGAAGTGCATGTGTGCAAAGTTTGGTCAGATGCAATATTCGATCGAAACACACATTCTTTTTCGCCAAAATCGTCTTTCTAAGATTAGAGTACCTTTGTGGTAGATTGCATTCATGAGGAACAGAAATTTAAAAACATTAAAAAGTTTACACAAATGTTCTTATCTGTATGCTTTCAGTAAGGATGTTGTGCGAAAATTGTTTGGTTTCCTCCCTTTTTCACAAATAATAATCTATGGGAGCCTTCTACAAAATGTAAGGATTGGAGAACAAAAGCAGAACTGCTTTAGACGAGAGATCTGAATTTGGAGGCAGGACCGAAACATTTAGAGTGTCAAAGCTGCAATAACCTGTCACAGCTGTCCATGAGAAAGCGCAGAACACCTCTCTCAATCACGCTATGCTTACTACAATCTCTCTAATTTTAGTTCTTGAGGGAATGTACAAACTAATCTCAGCTTGTTGTAATTTTTGTTTTTTTTCCAAAATCCTATGATAAGGGAGAAGAAGGCCCATATAATGCAACATTTTAGCTTCTTTTAGTTTCATGATTCAATTTCGCCAGTCATTATTCTTGCTGATTTGAAA